AAAAAAAAGAAAAAAAGTAATAAACAAAAAAAAAATATATATATATTTTTTCATACTGTCACCAATCAGTGTCCCTGATCACCGCCATGCCAGTTATATGATGATGCTGTACTGCACTGGTGACAGTATGTAAAAAAAAAATAAATAGTGAAACTAATTTTTTTAATTTTTTCATTTTCCGAAAAAAATTATGAAAAAAAAAAATACCACTTCAAAAAAACTCGCCATGCCTCCTATGAAGTACGTCGGACTGTCTACTTTACAAAAAGGGGTAATTTGGGGGATATCTGTACTGTTCTGACATTCTGGGACCTCAAGAAATTAGATTGGCTGTCAGTACTTCAGGATTGATCAATATTCAGATCTATACCATAGTTTGTGAACTCTATAACTTTCCTACAAACTAAATTATACATCCTAATTTGGGTTATTTTCACCAAAGACATGTAGCAGAATACATCTCGGCCTAAATTTATGAAGAACAATTATTTATTTGCACTAAACTTTTATAACAGAAACAAAGAAAAAAACGTGTTTTTTTTCAAAATTATTGGTCTTTTTTTGTTAATTTAGCAAAAAATAAAAACCCCAGCGGTGATTAATACCACCAAAAGAAAGCTCTAGTTGTGTGAAGAAAATGATAAAATTTTAGTTTGGGTACAATGTTGTATGAGCGCGCAATTGTCATTCAAAGTGTGAAAGCGCTGAAACCTGAAAACTGGCCTCTGGGCAGGAAGGTGTAAAAGTGCCCGGTATTGAATTGGTTAAAAAAAAAAAAACAAAGCCCAAAAAAAAACCAAAAGTAACAACCGTTTATCTCATGTCCAGTGCAGAGGTAAGCCTCGAACCTATGACCATGCACTCTTTAGACTGGCACGTAACCACTGTGCTGCGGTTGTTACCTGGTATAGGCCCAGTCAAACTGACCCTTGTTTTTAAAAACTGCCAACTGTCACCTGCCCAATGTCAAGTAGCTATAGTGCACTTTGAATGACAGTTGCGCGCTCATACAACATTGTAACCAAACAAAAATTTTATCATTTTTTCACACAACTAGAGCTTTCTTTTGGTGGTATTTAATCACCGCCGGGGTTTTTATTTTTTGCTAAATTGACAAAAAAAGACCAACAATTTTGAAAAAAAACCCCACGTTTTTCTTTGTTTCTGTTATAAAAGTTTGCAAATAAATAATTGTTCTTCATAAATTTAGGCCAAGATGTATTCTGCTACATGTCTTTGGTGAAAATAACCCAAATTAGGATGTATTTTTTAGTTTGTAGGAAAGTTATAGAGTTCGCAAACTATGGGATATATCTGAATATTGATCAATCCTGAAGTACTGACAGCCAATCTAATTTCTTGAAGTCCCAGAATGTCAGAACAGTACAGATATCCCCCAAATGACTCCTTTTTACAGAGTAAACAGTCCGACGTATTTCATAAGAGGCATGTCAATTTATTTGAAGTTGTATTTTTTTTTGTCATAATTTTTCGGAAAATGAAAAAAATGCAAATTTTTACATACTGTCACCAGTGCAGTACAGCGTCATCATATTAATGGCATGGCGGCAATCAGGGACACTGACTGGTGACAGTATGAAAAAAAAAATATATATATTTTTCTTAAATGTTTTTTTAATTTTTTATTACTTTTTTTTTAGATTTTTTTTTTTCATATTTTACTATGTGCAAAATAGTAGAATGTTACCATAGTAACATTGTGCTACTTTGGGGGAGTGATCAGTATTTTTTTTTTTTTTTTTTTTACACAATTTGCTTATAGCAAAGAATTACTTTGCTATAAGCAAGCATTTACCTGAATTACATCGATTCATTCATTCAGGTTTTTTTTTTGTGCTTAGCTGTGATTTGGCCACAGCTAATCACATGACGTGCATGTGATCACTGCGACCATTCACAGCTAGACACTAGTATACAATGTGAGGATAATAAAATATATAGTAAGCGCTCTCATCAACAGTTACAGCAGCTGAACATTAAAGGAAAACGCATAAAAAGTCCCAAAATTCATATATATACAAAATGCAGCGCTCTTAGAAAATGATGAAAAGTATTGGTGAAACACAGTCCGGTGAAAAAGTGCTCCGTGATTCCCAGTGCAAATGGGAATATAATGTTCATTATGCACCTGTGTTTTTGGAATAAAAGCTTTACCTACTACACTATAAGTGCTTCCCTATGTCTCCTGTGAGGAGCTTCTTCAATCCTTACAGCCCTAAGTGATCCCTGTGTCAGCTCCTGTGAAGGGGGAGGCTTATCCAGATTGATACTTCTCTGACCTGCTGGACCATTCTTTCACCACATGAGGGCGTAGGATTTCCATCTTTCCCAGCTATTTCTTTGAGGAGACCTGAGAGGAGAGGGGAGTCTTCAGGATATATATATACACATGCGTATTACTTATATGCTTTCTGGTTAGTGTGAATTTCTACCATTTGCACTGGGAATCACGGAGCACTTTTTCACCGGACTGTGTTTCACCAATACTTTTCATCATTTTCTAAGAGCGCTGCATTTTGTATATATACTAGTATACAATGGATGGCATGAATGAAGCCATCCATTGTATACAACTGTCATGTGACCTGCTGTGATTGGTCACAGCAGGTCACATGGTACCCGCAATGGGGGTCGGTACTCAGATCTGTCATCGGCAGATCGCGCCGCTGCGATCTAGAGCGGTTTCCCGGCCGCCATTCGGCTGTTGGCCAGGAGAGAAGTGGTTAAAGTAAGCCAATAACCTTTTAGTTTTGGAAATAGAAGGGAATAGGAATAGAACTCTTGTCAGGTTCTTACTGCCATCCCGGTGCAGCTCACTGTGTGTGTGCATTTAAAAAAAAATAATTATATATATATATGTAAAAATGTAAGATAAATACGTACCTGTTGCCAGATGCAGAACAATAACAGAGATCAATGCTCTCAGCCAGGGGCGGACTGACAACTCATGGGGCCCCCGGGCAATAGGGGATCAGGGGCCCCTGTGTCCTTGGCCAAACTCAAAAAAGCCTATGAAAAAGGTACCAGGGGCATCTCATGGGGCCCCCTACTCACCCCGGGCCCTCGGGCAGTGCCCGAGTTTCCAAATGGTCAGTCCGCCCCTGCTCTCAGCAGCATTCCCATCTTTGTCTCGCTGATTTCACTGGTGATAAACGCAAATCAATCAAAGAAATCTCTTCTAACTGCAGTCACTTTGCAGAGCAATCACAAACACTTGTACTCAGTGCGTGGATCAAGAAGAAATGAGGGGAGAGGACTTGTGCTAGAATAAGGGGGGTTGGAAATTGAAATCCCCCCACCCCTCCTTCTAGCACAAGTCCTATCCCCTCTCAAAGCACCCCCCCAACGCATATCCTCTTACCCCTGCCCCCCCCATAATCACTCCTCTAAGTGTATAATATTGTTACCTCCCCCCCTCCACCCTCCCCGCTATGTCCCCCTCCCCTGTAAGGCTAGGTTCACACTAGCCCGCCCTGTGTGTTCTGGTTGTGGGTTCGGGATTCGCATCAGCTCCTGTACCCGCAACCACCCACAGCCGAATCGCTCTGCTCTTACAAGACGAACGGGGCTGCCATTCTTTCCAAATGGCACCCCCGCGCATCTCAGCCCACAACATGATTGCAGGTGCGGGAACCGCAGGGAAACCACAAGATCAAAAAGACCGTGCAGTTTCCCTGCAGATGCGTTTTTGCATGCACCTTTTTCTTGCATGAAACACTGGCACAGCAAACCATTCAAAAATAAATGGGCCTCCGTGTCTGCGGAGACGCGGGCCACACTAGTGTGAACCAAGCCTAAGTCGCCATCCATATTAACCACTTGCCCACCGGAAGATTCTACCCCCTTCAAGACCAGGCCATTTTGTGCTGTTTGCCAATGCCTTACTTTAACTGGCAATTTCGCGGTCATGCTACACTGTACCCAGGGCTGTGGATAAGGGGGTACCACCAGTCCTCCTGTATGGGGCCCAGGCCAGCAGGGGGGTCCAGGCAGCTGGGTGAATAGGATGTGGGTAGGAAGGGTAATCGGCACAGCGCACATATATGAAAATCATTCAGTCTTGATATACTGACAGCCAGTCTCATTTCTTGAGGCCCAAAAATGCCAAGAAAGTATAAATATCCCCCAAATGACCGCTTTTTGGAAAGCAGACAGTCCAAGGTATTTAGTAAGAGGCATAGTGACTTCTTTTTTTTTTTAATTAAGAAATTAAAAAACAAATATTCACAATTTTGGGTTTTTTTTTTTCTTTTTTTATCATTATGTTTACCACACTGTGACCAGAGCAATATGTTACCATAGTAACATTATACTACTCTAGAGAAGTCAGGATTTTTTTTTTGCACATTATGATTGCTTATAGCTCAACCACTTCCCATCCGGCCCATGTATATAAACGTCCGGACGGGGGCAGTGCGGGAGCGGGTGGTCGTTTATAAATGTCCTCCCCGCTCCCTGCTTGTGCGCGCTCCCTGAATGTTTGGGGGTTCTGAATAATTTTCTAGCAAATAAATGATGATTTTTACATGTAGAAGAGAAATGCCAGAATTGTCCTGGGTGGGAAGTAATTACCGTATTTTTCGCTCCATAAGATGCGCCTAGGTTTTAGAGGAGAAAAACAAGAAAAAAAATATTCTGAACCAATGGACTGCAGACACAGTACAGGGGATGACCAGAGACTGTGGACATGGTACAGGAGATGGCCAGAGACTGCGGACATAGTACAGGGGATGACCAGAGACTGCGGACACAGTACAGGAGATGGCCAGAGACTGCGGACACAGTACAGGGGATGACCAGAGACTGCGGACACAGTACAGGAGATGGCCAGAGACTGCGGACACTGTACAGGGATGACCAGAGACTGCGGACATAGTACAGGAGATGGCCAGAGACTGCGGACACAGTGCAGGAGATGACCAGAGACTGCGGACACAGTACTGCAGATGGCCAGAGACTACGGACACAGTACATGAGATGACCAGAGACTGCAGACACAGTACATGAGATGACCAGAGACTGCAGACACAGTACAGGGGATGACCAGAGACTGCGGACACAGTACAGGGATGACCAGAGACTGCGGACACAGTACAGGAGATGGCCAGAGACTGCGGACACAGTGCAGGAGATGACCAGAGACTGCGGACACAGTACAGCAGATGGCCAGAGACTACGGACACAGTACATGAGATGACCAGAGACTGCGGACACAGTACAGGAGATGGCCAGAGACTGCGGACACAGTACAGGAGATGGCCAGAGACTGCGGACACAGTACAGGAGATGGCCAGAGACTGCGGACACAGTACAGGAGATGGCCAGAGACTGTGGACATAGTACAGATGACCAGAGACTGCGGACATAGTACATGAGATGACCAGAGACTGCGGACACAGTACAGGAGATGACCAGAGACTGCGGACATAGTACATGAGATGACCAGAGACTGCGGACATAGTACATGAGATGACCAGAGACTGCGGACATAGTACAGGGGATGACCAGAGACTGCGGACATAGTACATGAGATGACCAGAGACTGCGGACATAGTACAGGGGATGACCAGAGACTGAGGACTTAGTACAGGAGATGACCAGAGACTGCAGACATAGTACAGTACAGGAGATGGCCAGAGACTGCGGACATAGTACAGGAGATGACCAGAGACTGCAGACATAGTACAGGGAATGACCAGAGACTGCAGACATAGTACAGGAGATGACCAAAGACTGCAGACATAGTACAGATGACCAGAGACTGCAGACATAGTACAGATGACCAGAGACTGCGGACAGTGCAGGGAATGACGAGAGACTGCAGACAGTAAAAGAGATTACCAGAGACTGCGGACCTTTGGGGAGGGAGGGGGAACGGGTACCTGAATTTGACAGGTACCCGCTCCCACTTCCGCGGAGTTGTCCTTCCTTCTTCTTCCCGCTGCGGCTTCTGTGACAGCCGGGTGCCCACTGCGCATGCGCGAGAAGCTCTGCGCTTTGTGAATTGCCCGGATCCTTCTGGGACCTGTCATGTGTCCCACAAGACACCGGACCATTCACAAAGCGCAGCGCTTCTCGCGCATGCGCAGTGGGCACCCGGCTGTCACAGAAGCCGCTACGGAAAGACTGCAGCGCTGGAGCGATGAACAGGTAAGGTCCTGCAGGAGAGAAAAGCTGAGCGTCCTGTCCGATATGCTGACATGGTGGCAGCAGAAATATCGGACCGGCCGCTTTACATTCGCTCCATAAGATGCACTGACATTTCCCCCCCTTTTTATGGGGAAAAAAGTGCGTCTTATGGAGCGAAAAATAAGGTAAGTACTAAAATCGTTTGGACTGTATCCATGGAGGAGCAGCGATGTCAGCTTAGGATGGGCATGAGCGGGATGTTCTGTAGTCCACAGAGAGAGACTCAGAGGCAGAAAGTACATGACTGAGGGACATGCAGAATATTGAGGCTAATACTTTCCACCTAACCAATAAAACAACCACCCCCCTCAACCTTCTCCCACCTGAAATAACCACGCGACTCTCCTTTTGGTGTAAAAAAAAAAACGGCCATAGCGGCCCATACACTGTGTACAGTTGTTTTGTGAGCTGTGATTGGTTACAGTGATCACATGGTACACACAGGATCAATCAGAGCTAATCACAACCAAACTCAATTTCATTCAGTAAAATACTTGCTTAACCACTTCAATACCGGGCACTTTTACCCCCTTCCTGCCCAGGCCAATTTTCAGGTTTCAGCGCTCTCACAGTTTGAATGACAATTGCACGGTCATACAACACTGTACCCAAACTAAAATTTTGTCATTTTCTTCACACAACTAGAGCTTTCGTTTAGTGGTATTTAGTCACCGCTGGGGTTTTTATTTTTTGCTAAATTAACAAAAAAAGACTGAAAAGTTTGAAAAAAAAACATGTTTTTCTTTGTTTTTGTTTATAAAAGTCTGCAAATAAATATTTGTTCTTCTTAAATTTAGGCCGAGATGTATTCTGCTACATTTCTTTGGTGAAAATAACCCAAATTAGTATTTATTATTTAGTCTGTAGGAAAGTTAGAGAGTTGACAAACTATGGTATAGACCTGAAAATTGATTGATTCTGAAATACTGACAGCCAATCTCATTTTCTGAGGTCCAAGAATGTCAGAACAGTACAGATATCCCCCAAATGACCCCTTTTTGTAGAGTAGACCGTCCAATGTATTTCATAACAGGCACTGCGAGTTTTATGAAGTTGTAATTTTTTTGTTATTTTTTCAGAAATGAAGAAATTAAAAAAATGATTTTCACTATTTTTTTTTTTTTTACATACATACTGTCACTAGTGCAGTACAGAGTCATTGTATAACTGGGGGGGGGGGCGCATGGCGGTTATCAGGGACACTGACTGGTGACAGTACGGAAAAAAAAAATTTGATAATTTTTTATTATTATTTTTAATTTTTTATTACATTTTTTTCTCTTTTTTTAAGATTTGTTTTTCATATTTCACTATGACCAAAGTAGTATAATGTTACCATAGTAACATTGTACTACTTTGGGGGAGTGATCAGTATTTATTTTTTTTTTTTTACACAATTTGCTTTTAGCAAATGACTGATAATTGAGTATAACCCTTAACATAGGCATTACAAAAAAAGAATGAATTGCAGTCATATTGTTCCACAGACCTGATACATCATATGCCCATGTTCTCTGCTGCAATGGCCAGGCGTATATATGAAAGTATAGTGTGTTTCATGAATTTCAATGACAATACCCTCTGTTGTTCTTGAGGTGTTGCTAATTATGATCGACTCCACAAAATTCCTCTTGTAAGTTACCTTTCCCAATAGTTTGCAGATATGTATACATCCCAATAAAACATCTGTGCAGACAAGTCCCTTATATATAGTACACACAAAATGAGATGTGTCACACTTTTTTGTCCTGGCTAACCTGGTCTATGCATTAAGGACTGCTTTCCTCACTACCACATCTTAGTGACGTTTTAGTCTAGGGTACAGCACAAGACAGTCTAGGATGCACAATTCTTAACAAGAAGGGTCTAAAGATGTTAGGAAGTCAGAAAACTGTCTACTACTGTTTCAAAGGCCCTAAAATTATAGACTGGAAAGGTTAGGGTTCCGAAATGTTAAGTGGGTCAGTGGAGGTAGCTCCTATGCTTTGGCATATACTTTATTCATTTTTTTCTGACAGATATTTCTTCATCGACATCACAGCAGAGGTAGTTGATCCAGAAAATATCCGATTTCATCCTAGGGGGTCAGGAAGGAATTTTTTTTTCACCACTGGATCGAATTTGGATCATGCTTTTTTTTTTTTTTTTACTTCCTTTGGATCAGCTGTGGTTATAGGATTGTGTATATAGATGTTTTCAATATCCTTTTTTGTTGGTTGAACTAGATGGGCTAGTGTCTTTTTTGCAACCCCACTATGTACCTATGCAACATCGATCAATGTGAATGGAGGAGTCTTTTTTCATCAATCAAAACCTTGTGGCACAAATATTATATATATATATAACTCACCATGCCTTTTATCAAATACCTTGGAATGTCTACTTTCCAAAAAGTGGTCATTTGGTGGTGTTTGTACAATCCTGGCCTTTTAGGTCCTCTGAAACTGTGATGGGTAGTCAGGAAGTGAGTTGAGGAAGGACACCTTTTTAAAGCCCGATGGGTGTCTGGTTTTTGGCCCCCATACATGACTAGGCTCTCAAAAAAGTCTCACACTCGTGGTATCCCCAGAAGTAGCATAATGTGTTTTGGACTGTAATTCCACATACATATACCCATGGCACGTGTGAGAAAATATCTAATTAAACTGACAACTTTGTGGACAGTATGTAAACAGTTTGATTAGAACCCAATATTTTAATGAGAGACAAGGCAGATTGTATCTTGAAATAAACACTAGAGTGTATTATTTGAGAGATAATAGCCACAAATATTTGACAATGGCTGAACACGATGTACAGAGCTTGGTTTAACTAGAAATATAAGCAGTACAACTATAAACAGAATATACAGTCATAGACTTTGTGTGGACATATAGAAGAGTACCATAAAAACAACTTTATTAAGAACCATTAAAAATCTATTACACAACATTAAAAATGACTCTCCACACAAGGGTACACAACATGCAAAGATTAACGTTCACATGTGGATTCACGTTTCAAGAATTCTTCTTCAGAAGAACATGTGACAGAATCTAGGAGGTACAGATTAAAGTCCACATGTGAACTTTATTTGGAATCTTTGTTGTGGTAAGTTTTAATGTTGTGTAACAGATTTTTAATGTTACATAATAAAGTTGTTTTAATGGTACTCAATTTCTCTTCTATATGTCCACACTAAGTCCATTACTACATATTCTGTTTATAGTTGTACATGATTTGCTGGGATGTGGACATATAGCACACACAGTCTGGGTTTATCTCCTACTATAAATACAATAGGAGCAGGAGAGATGATGTAGGTTTACCTTGAAATAAACACTAGATTATATTATCTGAGGGACAATAGCTACAAATATTTTACAGTCACTGAATAACATGTAATCATCTTAGCTAGGCCACAATAAAAGAGAGATGAGGCAGTTTTTTTCTCTAATAGGGTTGAGGTACAAATTTGCTGCCAACATAGGTGTGAGGCAGATCCTCTGTGTTTGAGATTTTTAGTTCTGCCAAATTATTTTGCAGATCTGTACAGAAAGAGACACTGTATTTTTTAAACCTAGAAAATAACATGTAATCATCTTAGCTAGGCCACAATAAAAGAGAGAGAGATGAGGCAGTTTTTTTCTCTAATAGGGATGAGGTACAACTTTGCTGCCAACATAGGTTTGAAGGCAGATCCTCTGTGTTTGAGATTTTTAGTTCTGCCAAATTATTTTGCAGATCTGTACAGAAAAAGGCACTGTATTTTTAAACCTAGAAAACAGAAAAAAATACATATAAAACAAATAAAAAACAATAAAGCAAAATAAAAAGGAACTACAGGGGGTGGCAGCTAAACAGTGACTTCATCTACAATTTGGCATAATATAGCACAGTATAACACCATACAGCCTCTTCTTACATGCACTGCCAACTCTGCCTAAACTACTCCAGCACAAATTGAAAATGGTTTCAGTGAACCCACTGTTTTATAGTGAAGGGGGTCGTACATAACAAAGGCCCCCTTACTGACAATTCTAGCCCTTATAACCACAGTTAATAGGTAAGGCAGGACATTGTGGGCTCTTTAAAATTTGATCTGGTAAGTCTCACCATAAATTCTCTGGAAGCGTAAACCTTGACCCCCCCTGGATTTGTCATGCAGGAAATCCAAACTTCATCTCTAAACACTAGAACTGTCATACCTCCACAGTTGCTTTAATAAAATGTTTTGACATTTTGAGTG